ATCGAGGAACTGGCAAAAAAGGAGAAGATTGTGGATATTTTGGTGAAGGCAGATGGTCAAACGAGGGGTTGGCGACAGTCGTCGATGGTGGATCGGAATGAAGCTGCCACAAGCATGTGTCAAAAGCTAAGGTTAAAGGACATATTGGGACATATTATGTTAAAGAACTATTGAAGTATACCGTGCGTAGTGTCCATCACTATCAGAGTTTCCAAGGCTGAATTCAAATATACGACTTTTTTCAAATTCTACGAACTACACTGATGAAACGGGGAGAAGTGTGGAACTTTTCTATTGGCTCCGTTTATATGAGCTGCGGTGCTGAGCCGACTCGAGCTATTGGAATATACCATAAAATACAACATAATGGACACTTCTAGTTTGTTTTACCAGCAAGCACGCGTACGCGCGCGACAGCATCCGTCATCCGCGTTTGGGCTTTAAAGCCATAATTTTAACCTGCATAGTATAATTATCCATATTAAATTTTCGGCTTTATTGCTCTACCACGTAGTTAGACCCGCCACTTAATGGGGGTCAGACGGTGAGACGAAACAACTTGCATGAACCTCTGTAATTGTTATGGCGTAACAGAAAGACATTGCAGATATAAAATGTTATATTTAACAGCTAAGTTTTAAATTGATGCATTTGAGGCATCAGTTAAGGAATCAGTACTGTCGGCAGAGTGGAAGGCGTAGAGAGAACGTCGTTGGACCGGCTAATGTTGAAGTTGTAGAATGCCGGCCGTTCTAATTGAGAAGCGTCGCAATCAGTCCCGAATGACTTCCGTGGCGAGCGGTGGTCCACCGGAAGCCGTCGTGTGGTGGCTTCTGATTGCTGACGCGTCCTCACATTCGACAAATTCAATCATATTTGAAACTAATAATGAACGCATGAGTGCTGGACGAAGCATCGGAACAGCACAGCATATGCAATGAGGTCAAAGGCCGCACACTAGATTTGACCAGGGTCAGCCGTCCGTTGTGCAGATTTAGAATTTTCACGACCACCCCTCCCCCTCCCATACCGTGTTCGAAGTCTCTTCTGGAAGCCTCGACATGATCCCTCACCAGCGCCAGCCTTGGACTACCCCCATACGACCGCCTTACCATCCCCAACATCACTCTCACCGCCATGCGTGTTTTTGAAGTGTTTGATCCCGAGACCAGCCAACACACTATGTTCCGTCCACCTTTCCTCTGAAACTGTATGGATTAATAGAAGGAGGAGATTATAGACAAGTGATGGACAAAGCGATGACGATACCATTCTCCGTTCATATCTTCCTAGGGCTCGACTGGACTAACCTAAGAGAAAAGATTGAGAAAGTAGCGATAGCCGCTTAATTTCGCCCATTTCATGGAATCTTTCATAGACTGTTTCGCCAGTTCCAATGAAAACGAATCCCACCGCCTGACAGTGACACGCGAACACCACTATCCACCACCAATATTCCTCTGAATCCGACCCCATCGTCACCAATCAATTAACACAGGAATCATGTTAGCGACTTCATCCACCCTCGCTTTTCCAAACTTCCAAACTACGAACAGACAAGTTGAGCATTGTTATAGGTCGACGGTTTGACCCTGTCCTCGAGACAGGTGAGGTCGCTCTTTGAATATGCATCTAAAAGCCGCGGAGGTTAAGATTACAGAGGAATATCAAGACCTGAAGATGTAAAAAATTCGATTCAGTTATGTTTTTCAGAAGAAGTAAGGAAATCGGGAAAAAAAACTATTCCGAATCGCTATTTTGTAGATCTCTATCCGCAGAAAGGGGAAGTGATCTTTTACGAATCGAGTGAATTGAATTTTTGTTAACGCAGCTATCTTTCACGGACAGCATTCAATGGCTAGGCTGATTAAATTGACTTATAATTTCTTCGCTTACCTCTCCACTCGATGCCGCATGGAACACTCAAGACGTTCGCTGGCATTTATCAAGTAGTTCTGAGTAAGCGCATGCACTCCGAGTTCGGTTCGTATCAAGAAATTCCGCTAGATGAATCTTTATTGATGAAGCAAACAAATGTCATCCTCGAACGAATGGGCAGCTCCGCTGTGTATGCGAACAACTCTTTCAGATTGTCTCCGTTCTATCTGTAGTCTGCAGCAACTACGCTGCTTCAATTTAAAGGAATCTATTCCACGTCAATAATACGAAAAAAAAATTAATTAAACTGTTTTAATACTGAGTAATGGTCACCAGAAATCGCATTTCAGAGATACAAGAAGACTTTTTTCCCTTCCAGCGCAGAGAGCTAGTGATTAGGTGTAGTGTCATCCACTAAGGCAGCTGGTTTACTGAGATCGCAGATGCTTAGTACGACAGATGACGCTTGTGTAGGCCCTCCGTTATTGATCTCCACTATGCGTCGATTGACCGGCATTTGAGGATGCCGTTATAGATGCGCCAACCCATTAAAGTTCACCCAAACCTATACATAGGAAGCCATCAAGAACTCGGAGAAAAAAGTAAAGTTTCTACCAGTGGGAGCGCGCCGCCTAGAAAATCGTGTTGCAAATAGAAATGCATGGCGTATACCTTTTTCTCCTCTTTCTAAGCCTCCTTCCTCACTGCTGGCTGGAGAGCCAACGTGGGTTGATTGGTCAAGTTGACATGTTTCCTCTCAATTTAGCCTTCTTGTAGCTTCCAACAGAGCCAGCTCTAAACTTAGAAGACTGCCTATGCAAATTTAGCCGCCGTCAAATCAGCATCGAGAAGGTCAAGTGTCGCGAAACTCGTTCAATAAAGACAGACTATCGACGAGGATATAGAGTATCGCCAACAAAGCGAATTAGACAATTGAGATATGGTGAAAGCAGACGCGTCGTGGATTCGATCGAGAAAGATCACAGTCGTGGTACCACGCACGTATGCCAGTTTGTCACACATACGGCTGTACCGCATGATGTGCTTGTCCCTCTGTACTCATCTGAATGTGCTGCAAGGCCACGAAGGCCTTTAAGTGCCTTTCACTTCATAGAGATGCAGATTACTGTGGGCATTTCACACCAGAATTACATTTGCCATGACTATTAATGAATCACTCGATCGACGGCTGTGTCAGGTCCGTAAAACACGAGTTGGGGGACTGATATGATTTGGCCCCACAGTACGAGAAATCGACACCATCCCAGGACAGCTTGCGTTGGCTGCTAGCGACCACGAAGGGAACAGAGGCCACTGCATCCGTACAACCCACTAGGACGTGAGCGCTGCATCAAGAAGATGCACGACCTAACAAAGCGCCGATCATCCCAAAAGCAAACCTACACCAGCAGAACGTAAAAAGAAGAAGAAATATATTTCTTCCATCTACAAACGAATTACGGCAAAAATTCATTATAACATAAACATAGACTTATTTGCACATATATAACAAATTATTATCACGCAAGGGATACAAAATCATTATCACTTACATCTCATATAGAGCATTATCACGCATACGGAGCAAGAAGCACTATCAACAGCATTTAAGGAGTACCAAAAATAAAGCTTATTTACAGCTCCGCTAGAGACACGAGTCTTGCAAAGATCTAGCGAAAATCACTCTGGAGACAAAAGCAGACGAAACTAGAGGAAACTCATAGCTACATGACAGAAATTGTAAAGAATATTATTTTGACCAATTTCAACTAATCCTCGTCCCACTGTATCCCTCTCGTCGGAGCTTTTCGCCTCTTCACAGGGATATCAGAGACTGTCTTCTGAATTCGATTTGCTTAATCTTCTATAAATGATGATTCTTCTGGTGTAAAACTAACTGACCTTGACCCTAGGTTGCTTCTGTTTGTTCTTATCCACGATCAATGTCTGAAAATAATTGATTGACCCAGTCTTTGGTAATGAAAAGGAGATTATATGCCGAAAAATGTGTTTTTGTGCATAATGATATAAACAGTCACCTCAATACACTTCAGCATCTCTTCCATAATGAATGCCAGCCGACTGAGGTCTTAAAAAATCATAATTAGGTTGAGATACATTGACACACCAGTAGCTTTTATACCTGCAGCTGGCAGCTACTTTGCTGAGATTGGAACCTTTACCTGACTGATATGTGCCATATCGAGAAGGCATTCTTTCTATGAACCCTTAGGGTGATGTCAGAGTCCGCGATCCGTCGCAGGTTTCGCTGATTTTCGCGATTTGCGCGATTTGCGCGATTCACGCGACGGATCGCAAAAATTGCAAGTGTGTGAACATTTGAAACACTGAATATGAAACAAGTGGAATCATGAGCAGTCGTCATTCAGCCATCACTATCAAGCAGAAGTGGCGGCAGGATTGGAGAACACCTTGCAGTATTGATCGGGCACTTGTGATTTCCGTGACCCGTCGCGTGAATCGCGCAAATCGCGCAAATCGCGAAAATCGCGAAAATCGCGCAAATCGCGAAAATCGCGCAAATCGCGAAAATCGCGCAAATCGCGAAAATCGCGAATCGCGAAAATCGCGCAAATCGCGAAAATCAGCGAAACCTGCGACGGATCGCGGACTCTGACACCAGCCTTAGGGAATAACCAAGCAAGAACAACCCTACACAGCGTAACTTTCGCTACAGAACATATCTCTGCAGAAGGAACTGCATTGTTACGCCTGCACTGCTCGCAAAAAATATAAGAAAACGAAAAACATTTTCGAAAATTATGTTTTAAGTGGTAATCTGACATATATTCGAACTCACCATGGTTAACTTTGAGGGTACAAGTACGCTTCGTGGTGAATGATATGATACATCGTGATTTCGGTGATATAGAAGAGATTGTAAAGAGTTTCTTCTCCATGCTCTCCCTGTAAAATTCCCTTGGAAAAAATTCGTAGTCCGCTGCACAAATGGAACGATACCTCCAAATAGAAGGCAGTATCGTTTCGCTGACGTTGACAAACTCCGCTCTTTGTTTCTCGCTTATAGCTAACTCATATACCTCACTGATACCGTCACATACGCCTAAAGCAGCGTAAAACGATCTAAAACTTCTACTGAACCAGAATTTGGTAAATTATATCTAATGACACTATTGATCATGAAACGTTTCAAATCGCATGATCACTCAGTGAAGGTTTCTTAATTCACAAAGAATTTAATAAAATAGCTTTCTTCCTTTGCGTAGCCAAAGAAGTGTTGAAATGAACTAAATAGCACAACACTATCGCTAGAATACCTATTATTTTCGGATCCGGCAGCCAATACAAAAAATACGTTCGACCTTCGAACGAAGTTTTATACATGGAAATCATAGCGAAACGGAGCTGAAAATAAAACATAATCAAGAATTCACGCCATCCTCGTCCCTGACACCATCCCAAGTCAATTGTCTGAGCAATTCTGCTACGTATGAATCAATAGTTCCCAAAAATGGCCGCTAAAGATCTTTAGCAAAGAAGGGTAAGGTACATGTGTGTTATATATACATCGTTCGCTATTTCTATTCCATCGCGGTTCGCGTTCTGTTGGGTAGGTATTTTAAAACAGAATGAATTTTTGACGACAAATCGGCACGAAAACATTCTAAAATGCTTGCGCTTAGGATCGACTTATACTTTGTACTAATAGTCCCATCCAGGAAGAGCACGTGGCTCGACAAGTCATACACCCCACGGTAATCACCTTTTTGAAGCTGAAGGAAGCCTCGGGGTAGGTGTAAGAGCAAAATAAAGTGTTTCAAGCACCCAGGGTATTACCACTGCTGCAAAAATTGGAATCTCTGCAAGCGGCAGCAACTGTCGCATCACGTGCCCCCCTTTACTGTATGAAACCCACAGCTTGGTTACGATCATCGATAAATATCCAGTCCCGATTGGATAGATATGTATCGACGATCTGCGATCGCATATGTAATCGGTATGCATCCAGTCCACAAAAAATGCAACATTTTTTTCTTCGCAAGGGAGCTTTTGTTAAAGCGTGAAATGTACTTTGAAAGAGCAAGAAAAAACTGCAATTGAAACTGAAAACCAAAACAAAATTAT